GCTGCACAGTGTATCTTGGCCTCACACCTTGACCCGTCTGTATAGATGCGTGTATGGTGAGAGTAGTTTTTTCAATATGCCCTAGAGCTAATCTTGTAATGTGAGTGACTACGTTTTTAGGGAGTTTATCTAATTCTATGCCATTTCAAGGAGGCACGATGGAGTAATGGATAGCGGCTTGGATTGAGGAATTGGAGAGCCGAGTTCGAATTCCAGTCGAATCCATTACATTCATTTATGTGCTAATAACATTGGGAAAGGTATGAATCCTCTTCTTCTTCTCCCACCCAGCAATGGATGAATAGCAGAACGGGGCAGCTCGGATTGAGGAATCGGAGAGCTGAGTTCGAATTCCAGTCGAATCCATTACATTCACTCACGTGCTAATACCCTTGGGAAAGGTATGAATCCTCTTCTTCTTCTCCCACCCAGCAATGGATGAATAGCAGAACGGGGCAGCTCGGATTGAGGAATCGGAGAGCCGAGTTCGAATTCCAGTCTAATCCATTACATTCACTCACGTGCTAATACCCTTGGGAAAAGTGTGAATACTCTTCTTCTCCCTCCAGCTATGGGTAAATAGCAGGACAGACTGGGTTCTATAGCCTTGGATGGCAACTGGTCTAGGAGAAGAACAACTGTGAATTCAAAACCGGGAGTGGAGCCCCTAAGGCGGATGGGCGGCATTTTGTGCTACCTTCCAGCAACTGGTACCAGACTGTATTGGTTTATTCTCTCCTTTGGACTCTGCTAGCAAGGCCGAGAGGGGAAACTAGACGTCCGGACAGCCCAAGTTCTCGATATATCCCACCCAGGCTCGTAGCCTACCGCGCTACTCCATCGTCTCTCGAGACGGACGGGTTCCGACGGCGACGATACCATTTCAAGTTCAATTTGGGTCTAATTAAAGTCATTTTGGTACTAAGCAATTTCATGATGAAATAGCCAAGTTCAGAATGGAACGTAGCAAATTCAAAATGAAATAAGAATGTTTGATTTGGAACGAAGCAAATTAATAATGAAATAAGGAAATTTGAATTGGGGCTAAGCATATACATTATGGACTATGGGAGTTCAAATTGGGACTACCTATCTTTTTCTATAGTGATTGGAAATTGACTTTTTTTCCAAGATGTTCCACCAACACTCTCTATTGTCCATCTGAATTAAATGCTACCAATATCTGAATTCTTTTCATTTTCGACTCGTTCTTTGTTAGATATTTTCTATGCGATGACATTGTCATAATTGTGGGCCGCGGAAAATTTGGGCAACACCAGGTCAAAGAAAATACAACAAGGAAATACTGAATGCATATATCAAGACAGTTTGAAAAAAGATAGGTATAGTGAGAGATTTTAAGCGCTGAAAGCTGCATCCAAAAACCTTTCATGAATTCTCTTGATTTCATTGCTCCTAGAACATAAAACATTTCAATAGTAAAGCTTAGTTGATCATTATTATTATTTTATCATGAAAATATTTAATTTTAAAATCTTTTTAGTAAAATAATTGCTCAGTCACAAACTGAATTTGCTTAATCCATTTTGAACTTTCTAAGTCCTAAATCAAATTTACTTAATCCATTTTGAATTTAACTATTCCATTTTGAATTTGCTATGTCGCAATTTAAATTTGATAATTCCATTTTGAATTTGCTATGTCACAATTTAAATTTGATAATTCCATTTTGAATTTGCTATGTCGCAATTTAAATTTGATAATTCCATTTTGAATTTGCTATGTCGCAATTTAAATTTGATAATTGCATTTTGAATTTGCTATGTCACAATTTAAATTTGATAATTCCATTTTGAATTTGCTATGTCGCAATTTAAATTTGATAATTCCATTTTGAATTTGCGATGTCCCAATTTAAATTTGATAATTCCATTTTGAATTTGCTACATCTTATTTTGAATTTGACTATTCCATTTTGAACTTGGCTATTTCATTATGAACTTGCTTAGTCCCAAATTGAAAGACTTCGGGTTGCTTGATTGTCTATGATGGAATACTGGCTTCAGACGTTTCTTGTGTCTGAGAGTGTAGTCCCTAACTATTAAGCAATGGATTTCATTCTGAGTCAATAGTGTTGTATGTTATTGTCTTTTTTGTTTGAATAGATCAATTAGGTGTAAAGGTACCGCTATACGCTAGCTTAGTTGGGCATGATTTTATTTTGACTTAGTACTGCAGTACCAGTTTAGTACGCCTTAAACGTGGAGGTGTTTCATTAGATTCTGGGGATGTCCTAAAAACACCAAGTAATAATCTAAGGAATTGATAGGTTGCGTTAAATATATTCAGGTATGATTTTCTGACCACCTCATATATAAAACTAATGTAATCCAGTATTGATCGAAGTAGTGATCTGTATATTTAATTAGTGTTTTTCGATCTGCACCCCATGTAATATCAGAAACTATACGCAGAAGAGGACTTTATTACATTTTATTTTTAAATATTTTAGAAGGGGAATGAATGTTTATTTTTTGTC